ATTCTCACTGTAGCATCTAGGTCAGTGTCTAAAGCCTAGAAAATTTGGTGTAATATGTTGAACCATTTGGTTACCTTCTGCAGATACTGTGTAAAATTTATAGTTTTAGTGTTTTTCAAATATGGTACCCAGAAATTAACATAGTGTTATGTCTCAACTAGTACAGATGTTAATGAAGATACTCATATACTGTAAAAGAGAATCTATCCATTAGTGTATCCCCAGACTGAAAGACCCCAGACTCCTGGGATACTTTCGTCAATGGGAAGGCGCCCCAGAAAATCCAGGCCGGGAGAAGCAAGAGGAATTTATTCAGCATTTGCGCAAACAGACTCTCTGCCCCGGTCAGTCAGAGAGCCCCGAGCAGCGGTTACAAGCCTTTTTAAAGGCTAAAACCACAAGATTAATGCATAACACAAAGCATCCCATGATTGGTCCATTTAAAGGTCACCATATACACCAACAATCACTTTGCCACGCGAGAAATTTTGTAACACTCTGTAAAATGATTGGCCCATGGTTGGTTTAAGGGGGGGTTACATGGTTACAGGCCTGTGATTGATTAACATTTGGCCTAGTTTGCTGTACGTGCCAGGTGGTCCTTATCTTGGGTCCTTATCTTGGATCCTTATCTTGGGTCCCATTCTTGGGTCCCATTTGGCCACTTGGGAATTTACTTGTTTGTTCTTTATTTTTGACTACAGAGCTTGTCCCAGGGCCGACAACTCTGAAACTTTTTATGTATTTCCAGGGAGGGGAAGGGTCAGTGCTAGCGCAAGCAAGTTTACAGAAGCAAAACCAGCAGTTAGCAATTGTAAAATGTAACTCTAATTTTTAATCTTTCACAGACAATAGTCATTGGGTAATAGAGTGCCTTCTGTGGACTAGATCTGGTACCAGATACTGGAAATTAATTATGTTATTTGTTAAGCCAACCATATAGTACAAACAGTATCCTCTCCACATATAGTTCAGGAAGGAGAAGCTGAGGACATTTAGCACTTGTCCAAGCACAGACCTTTGAATCTAGAATTCATGTCCACAGCTTGTGACTCCCAGTCCAGCCTTTTTGTGCTACCAGGTGCTCCCTTAAATTCGCTCAACAAGCCCATTCTGTGTTTAAACCATAGGATGCTGGGGTTAGTTAAAACCTGCCTACCATGAATATTATTCACACTAGATTTGCCTGACTGATGATTTGAATCTGTGTGCTAGAAGTTCATTTATTCTGGCTCAAATAAATTGTGTTGGCTTTTTGATTGCTGTTATTCTAGTTGAATGACCTTGCAAACAAAGGGGTGACACAGTCTTCCAGACTGACCTGCTGCCTGCAGGTGACCATTCACTTATTGGCCAAGTTGGCGCCTTTCATTTATGCAGTAATCCTTCTTGAAATTGACATCAAAACATCATGAAGTCTTTTTTAAATTTTCTTTTTATTTGAAAATCAGGATAAAATGTCTTCAACTCACCTTTAATGACACTTTGGAGGTTATAGCAAAATACTTGTTTCATAGGGCTTTGTATCCTTCACTGTAGACTTAGGTCCTTTCCATGTCTTACCTACTTTATGACTTTTAGAGAATATAGACTAAGATTCTTAAGAGGTCAGACTTTTTTATACAAAGGAGTTTAGATTAAGTGCCATGTGAAGCAGTTCTGCTTTGAAAATAACCCATTAATACTTTCTTTTCTCAAAGAAACTGTATGAAATATAAAGTTACAAAGCCAAGGAGTCAGGAAAACTTCAAACACCTTCTTTGAGAACATTCTAAGATGTTATTTTTAACTCAATAATTTTGGAAATGAGGGAAATGAAGGTATTTCACAACATGGAACATCAAGTTGCTTTCAAGTAAAGGAAGCGTCAGAAGAGCTTCCCCAATTTGCAGACATCCTAACACTGGTGCCACACTATTCCACAAGAGATTGTCCATGAAAAAACCATCACAGATATGTCACTACTAAAATATCTAGACCGACGGAAATTTTAAAGGAAATATTTAAAAAGTCTAAGTCCTAACATGAAAACCTAAGTCTAATAAAGCTGTTTTAAAATACTTTCATGCAAATGAAGATGAGTAAAATATTTGATGAACAAAAAACTTGATCAGGGTCCATTCAGAGTCTATTCAGAAGAAAAAAAAAACATTTCCCACTGTATGTGTGTGTGTGTGTGTGTGTGTGTGTGTGTGCGTGCACGTGTGCATTCACTCATGTATGTATATACATGTATATACATATGTGCACATATGTATGTATAAATGTATATGTGTATAATGTAATTATGTTGTGCATGTATGCATGTACATGTTCATATATTTATGTGTGCATGTATATATGTGTGTATCTTTACATACAAGTATATAAAGATCTATTAACAGAGAATTGGAGTCCTGAGGGATTATCTCATAGGAAAAAAACAGCACTTTAAAAATATATAGGAATAACTCTATATACATATATATGTGTATATATATAACTATAAGTAGAGGGCAGCCAACACACATAGTCTGAGACAAAGCTCTGAGAAAGAGACCACATCCTTGTAAGGCTAAGAGCAAACCTCTTTGGAGACAGTGTGACTTTGGTTCCCAGCGTGGCAGGAAGTTTACTGGGCTACCTTGCTGGTGAGACTCACTGACAGTGCACCATTTGGAGGCCCTGGAATTCCATAATTTGGAAGCCCCTGCAGGCTCTTCCCAGGAGGCACTGAAGATGCCCTGTGGGTGATGTGAATATACATAGCTTATCTATCTTCTCACCCGTGAGACACCTGTGCAGAAAATGCCAGGAATATTAGTGATGGGCCCTGATCTGCTGCTGGTTTGCTACATTGCTCTTGAGAGGCAGGAGCTGCCCAAGGCTATGATCTGCGAACAAACACCACAAAATCTGCAGATCTATAAGATATCCACAACAGATCAGGAAGAGAAATACCTCTCTTCTCTGGCATCCTCTAATGACAATGTTTAAGAAAGATCTGGATAAGAAAGGAGACATATTTACATCAACAATCTCCATTGTTGCAGACACCAAGAATGGGTGGGTTTGGAGTTTAGAGGTCATGCAATTAAAACTGATCTAGTACTGAGTAAGGAAAACTGTTGATGTAAAGGCACAGTTTCCTAGAATCTATTAGCAAATAGTTAAATATATTTTTCTTCCACTTCCTAATCAGTCATAGTTGCTTTATTTGAAACGACTTATTCACTTTAAATAATTCGAAGAAACCAAATCAATTACCATTCATAAATCAGAATATAAATTGTTATGGAATTTCCAAAAAAAGCAAAATAAAAAAACACTACTGTAGTTTCATGATAAATATTTGTGAAAATTTATTTGAGTTACATAGTATTTTATGTTGAACTATCTATAGTTTGAAGATTTGTAGCTCTTTTTCTTTATCAAATGCAATGGGAATCTTAAAATTTTCAAAGATGAAAAGATGAGCAGATGAAAAACTTACCTTGTTGGGCTGGAACTGTTCCTGAGCATTCTGTTATGATATAAAATCCACTAAAATTGAAACTCTATATAATACTAGTCTTGATCTTAAGATAAGAGATGATAGCTATTTCCTTCTTCTAAACTACTTGGAACTTTATACTGACACCAAGGCATAATTCTCTGGTCAGTGGCAACTATTATAGCATTGCTTATTATATACAAACTGTATTTGTAGTGGAAATTCAATGTCATTTCAAATGCTGCCAGTGGTAAGTGTCAGACGAGGAAGGTAGGTACAGATCACAATCTTTCCTAAGTGTAATGTGTCTCATTTGTGAATTCTCAATGTAATATCTCCAATTACCTGGTCATTGAATACAAGTTTGTGATTGCCTTTGACATAGCACATCCTGTGTTGTGCTTCAGTGAGCACAAAGCTTTGCCTCTGTTAACAATGGCTGAGTTAAAGTCTGTTCTAGAACATTGTCTCCTGTCTAACCAAATCATGTCTGATAGAAAAGTGATGTCATAGAAAATACAGCCCCGCCAGGCTCTGGCCACTTAGCTTGCATCAGAGTTTTCCACTTTACAACACCAACTTCAGAATCACCCAGCAGCTCTCGGGAAATAACCGTTTGTTGGCCTTTTCTAGGATGGGTTTAATCAAAATGTGGGCATTTAAAGCACAGGAAATTAGATCTTGCATTTTGATCAGGCTCCTAACTGAATTATATTCAAGGCCAAGAATCAAGATGGCAGACCTTCCCTTGTACCCCAAAGCAGAACTGACTGGGGTTATGATGTGTCAGCTAGCGAAACCCCAACATATCATGCCACTAACAAATCAGAGGGGCTTTTGCATCTGTCAGTTGTAGCTAGAAAAAGAGAACCTTTGTGGCTGCCTAAAGCAGAGAAAGAATTATTAGAAAGAAGTAGTGGGGGAGGGGATGGAGAAGTGGGAGGAGATGGGAAGGGATGGGAAAGGGAAACAATGGAGGAGGCAACAATGCTTGATAAGAAATGTACTCATTACCTTGCTCATGTAATTGTAACCCCTCTGTACGGTATTTTCACAATATAAAAAATAAAATAAAGTAATTTTAAAAATGAATTCAATAAAACAAATTGAAACTGGAAAAAAAGGATACTTTAAGGGCCAGAACTGAAGAGGAACTATATAGATCTCTCTGTCTCTGTCTCTGTCTCTCTCTCTCTCTCGCTATATATATGTATGTATATACATATATATATATATATAATTCATTAGCTGAATAAGCTCCAAGCTTTACTTTCCTGATCAATACCTAGTTTTACCTACAAGAAAGAGAACCTTTGAAGTGCAAATGATAGAGAAAAAAAATTAATAAACTTTTATCAGAAGTTAGGCAGAATGGGTGCATGCTCTATAGGATTCTGATTTGGTGTCAAAGTTATAGCACCTGATAAGTTTTAGAGAGACTAAGTGTTTAAAAAGAATTTGGTGAATTGCTTTTTAAAATGAATCTTGGGATAACAAAACAACTTTTCCATTATTTCTTCATTCTCAGCCTGAATTCACCAATGTTTGCTTTTGGTACATTCCACCAAGCCTTAGAGAAATGGAAGAAGGACCCCAGTTCTGGGAAAAACTTCATTTGGTGAGTAACTCATTACTTGTATTCTCCTTTTTGATGCGATGAACTCCTTGGCCGTTGTTCCTGTGGGAGATTCTTTACTGGGGCTAATATCTTGAAGAACTAGAGTAGGAAATGATCACAAATCTAATAGCTGTAAAGGAGGATTCCCTCTAACCAATTAGATCACAGTTAAAAAAGTGTGCTGGTTACATGATAAGTTCAGAATGTATTAAGTCTGATTCACAGTGCATGTCAGAATATGAGATCTGGTAATGGGATCCAAGTTATAAGTTTAGTGATGACTATCTGCTGGTTCAGCTCTGCTGGTGTGTCTCTGTAAGTATTATGTCACCTCACTTGTGAATAATGTAAAAAGTCCAATTTGGACTTCTTTTCTGAAGGTAGAATTCTGACCTCTTCACCAAAAAAAATACCTGCATCTGACACCCAAAGATGCCCCTCAGTAGATGAATGGGTCAAGAAAATGTAGTATATACACACATCAGAAAGAATGATATTGCCCCATTCATAAGGAAATGGAAAGTCTTAGGGAAATTTATATGAAGCAAAGTAAGCCAGACCCAAAGAAACATAATCCCCCTCATTTGTAATAACTAGAATATGTCTAGGATATTCTTAGGAGAGGATCATAATAGCTCTGTAGCTATGTGCATATGACCATGATGCTTATCGAAATGAATTCCAGGAATGGAAATCAGAGGTTTCTTAGTGTAACATTTGCAGTTATTTCTTTTTCTTTTTTTCCTTTGATTTATTCTCTGTTATGACTGTTTTTGCTTTCTGTACCCTTTCTCTTGTATATAAGTTTATCTAATTTGGAAAAGGGAAGGGAAATCACAGAAACAGTGGGACAAAGGGTGAACCAATACAGCAGTGATACTCACTGGACATTATATTGGAAATGAACTTTACAACTTAGAGGAGGGGAGTTGGTGTGTGTGGCAGGGGGAAGGGAGAGAAAATGAGGAAGGGGGTAACACTGTTCAAAAATAAATGTACTCATTACTAATGTAACTGTAACCCCTCTGTACATCACCTTTACAATAAAATTTAAAACAAACAAACAAAAAGGGTGGGGGAGATATACCAGGAATTAATTTCATCTGATCTCTGAACAAGTGTGCTTAAAAGTGTTGGCACACACAGCACAGCAGTGGTGTACTGACAGGCCAAAGTTTGCAGTACCCAGCCTCTAGAGACAGCTGTGATTCATTCACACCTCCCCACACATGGCTCAGCCAGTTAAAATCCTGCCTCCACGCCAGAGCTCCAAGACCTGTGAAGTCTGGTGAGTCTCACTACTAGACCCACCTCCCCTACAGTATGAACACAATACATATTGAAAATGAACTTGGGTGTTCCATGGGGATATGAGAGTTTGTGATAGGCTGCTGCCATTAGTGAGGCAATCCCTGATCTGCTTCATCTTCTCTCCCAAGATAAACACTGAAACATACATTTGCTTGGTTAGTAAAAGCTATGACTTACAATTCCCTTCTCTCCTTAAATGGAAAAAAATGATAATTGTGTGGAGGGGATGATGCATGCGTGTGCATGCGCATGCCCAGCTCTGGTGCTTGAATACAGGGCTTGGGCACCGTCCCTTAGCTTTTTTGGTAAAAGCGATCTCTCTATCACTTGAGGCACAGCTCCACTTTCTGGCTTTGTGGTGAGTCACTGGAGATTTGAGGCTTTTTCTTTCCTGGGCTGGCTTTGAACCATGATCCTCAGATTTAAGCTTCTTGGATAGCTAGGATTACAGGTCTGAGCCACCAGAAGCCAGCTTGATAATTTTTAAAATTGAAGTTGATAGTCCTTTTGTTTAGTTTTTGAAGGAAAGACTTACTTTACTGAGTGCTTACTAATGTATACACTGGAGGTACAACCATCAAAAGAACTTGGTTTCTGTTGAGAAGTTTGTACCCAGGGAGACAGTGAGTTATGGGATCTCACTTGATATTAGAAAGTGGAAGGAAACCCAACATGCAGGCAAAGTGGAGAATAGGAATACTTGACTCAGAGTGTGACACTAGAGCCGAGTCTGCATAGATCCATCAATGCCAGTGAGGGACAATTGGGAAGAAGTCAATCCCAAGAACGACATGAAAACCCCAGCAGATTAAGAGGGGAGAGTGTGAGTCAGACTACAGGGTCACAGGACTTCAGGGAAGGTGAGATGACAAGCACATGGCCTTTATCTTTCAAGGCAAAGAGCTTGGAATTTTTTGCCACAACTAAGGAGGCATTGTCTTTAAGCTATGGACACCTGTGCAATTTCACCTAAGACTTTGACCATTTAGCCTCAGGTCATTTTCTGTTTCTTCCAACTCACTCATTCACTGACCTACATGGTAACACACCAGAGGATTAATATATGAATATTCTACCTTCTGTCAAACCTTAGTTCAGGTGGCAAAACTTGAGAAGATGGGTGATATTACCCTTGCCCTGGACTAGCTAAGTTCTTTGTCACCCATTTCAGGCAGTTAATTCAGTCCTTGGATGTGTCTTGTATTTTTGTCACACAATGCAAATCAGAGAGTGCTTGAGAATACATTTCAGATGGTAAGCAACCCATAAAAGGAAACAGCAAGTGGACGACATGAGAATTTAGTGGTGAGGTTTAGAGGCACACTTTTCCCTTTGATGGAATGCAGCAGACATTTTTTTGGTGGAGGTGGGGGAGAGGCTGCTTCAAAGAGATATGGATGCCTTTTTTCCTCACCAAGATAGAAATCACTTTTTTGATTATTAAGAAAGGTGAAGAAATATGTGATATTTGTGCTCTTCTAACTCAGAACTGCTGCAGTGCTATAACTAGATTGGGATTTTATGGTGGGTTTTTCTTTCTGTTTGTGTTTTTGATTTGTGCTAAGACTAGGGCTTGAACTCAAAACCTTGCCCCCTTGCTTAGTTCCATACCTCCACTTCCAACTTTTTGCTGGTCTCATAGACTTTCCTACCTGAGCTGGCTTTGAACCTTGGTCCTCCAATTTCAACCTTCTGAGTAATTAGATTTATAGGCATGAGCCACCAGCACCTGGCCTAGCTTGTTTTATGATGTTGGGAGCTATTTTTGTCTCATTCTTCCTTTACTTTCTAGTCTTAGAAAACTCTGAAATTGGGAAGATGCCTTACTGAAGGCTTATTCTCCAAGTAAAGAAATGCCTGAATCTTAAAAAAAAAAAAGAAAAGAAAAAAGAAAACTCTGAAATTGAAGATGGGATATATAAGCTAAAATCAGAAAACTCAAATATGTTTTTTATTTTAACTGGAAATCAAACATGGATGGAGACATTCTGTTTTGTCCATAATATGTGCCAACACTTCTTCTTTTAAAGTTAATACGTGGTTACCCACCCCTTCACCTTGGAAATGCTTTTCTGCTAGTTAGAACTATGGTTCTTATTTGCCTGGTTTATATTATACAATTTTAATTGTTCTGGATGCTTCTAATTAGTAAAATTGTATGCTACTTGGGAGGCTGAGATCTAAGGTTCATGATTCAAAGCCAGCCTGATAGAAAAGTCTGTGAAACTCTTATCTCCAATTAACCAGCAAAAAGCCAGAAGTGGAAGTGTGACTCGAGTGATAGAACACTAGCTTTGAATAAAAAAGCTAAGGTATTTAGTCCAGGCCATGGGTTCAAGCTCCAGTACCAGTTAACACACACACACACACACACACACACACACACACACACACACACACAATGTATGCTGCTCACAAACTGTTGTTAGGCCTCAGGTTTAAGTTCCTCTTCCCTCTTTCTCTGTTTATTGTGTGTGCTTATGAATTTGGCAAAGGCAAGGGCAACACATACATATCTTTTGTTGATCTCTAGTGTGAGAATTCAGGTATATGATTTATAACTGTGAGTATACTTAAAACACACTTGAAATTTATCTTGGATGGAGAATCACAAACTGATAAATAAGCTGAAGAAGGCTTGTCCCTCTGATGGAGACCATTGTCAGGGTGAGTTGTCAGATTCAGACTCAGGGCTGTGATAAGTCTTCTTCTATAAGCAGAGGAGGAGAGGGAAAATCTGGTGATGAATCTGGACTATACAAGGATGTGAATGTGTGTGCTTGCAAGTGTATGTGTGTGCATGTATAACTTTCTGAGATCACAGTTGCTCTGCATTGATGATATAAGACAGCTGCTCTAAAACACTGTATTCTCTCCCAGGTTCAAACAACTTCTCTTTAAATGTCCTCCAGAAATGCCCTTCTTCCTGAACTTGCTGGTATTATGAGACTCAACTCTTCACTGTTCCCTACTCCAATTGTATTTGTTTCTTTGCTCATCTGCCAGAGGAAAGAAATCCATTCATTAGCCAGTGACTGATGGCTCATGCCAATAAATCCTAGCTAATCAGGAGGCTGAGATATATGGTTTGAGGGTCAAAGCTAGCCCAGACAGACAAATCTGAGAGACTATCATCTCCAATTAGCTAGCATAATGCCAGAAGTGGAAGTGTGGCTCAAATGGTAGTTTGTCAACCTTGAATAAAATAGTAAGTAAGAATAAGAAACCCTATTATTCCTTCCCTCCCCACTTCCCCAGCTCTTCCCTTCCCCACCCCACCCTCAAAGTTGTAAAATTCATTTTCAACATAGTGTCTTGTACATCTCATTGTTACAATGGGTCAACCTGTATCCTTGTTTCAGCATTTTGTTATCAGGGGAACAAAAGGAGGTGGTAACAATGCTCAGTAGGAAATGTACTCATTACCTTACTCATGGAACTGTAACTCCTCTGTACAGTATCTTTACAATAAAAAAATGTTTTAAAACATAAAAAAGAACAAAAAGTCCTGAGTTCAAGACTCATTCCAGGCACACACACACACACACACACACACACACACACACACACACACACTTTCATTTGCTTTCCTCTCTGAACATTTACAACTGCATCTCTGCTGCCTCCTCACTGTCCTGCCAAAACTCTCTGAATGGCTTACCATTCTTTGCTGTGGACATTTTCAGCCT